GTGTGGTCACCAAGGTAGTTAGGAGGGTTGTTACGATGTCCGTGTTCTCACTGGTGAGTGGTTCTGAGTTTGTAACAGGCATGGAAGATGGAATGGTGGGGATACTGGTGGGGAATGTAAAGGCTTTGGAGGTTGTGGGAGGAGAGCTTGTGGTTGTCCCAGAAGTCAGTGTGTAGGTAGAGGTAACTGAAGAAGTGATGGGGGAACTAGAAGTAATTTCTGTCACAGCAGTTTCTGTGGAAACCTGAACAGTGGGCATGAGTGTGGTTTTCTCAGTGGACGTGGCACTAGGGCTGATTGGGGTTGTCTGCCCTGTGCCTGTAGGTGCTACAGTTGATGGAGGTGCATCCATGGTTGTGTGTGTTGTGTGCAAGTGGTTGGTGGTGGGTGTCGGGATATACCCTGTTGTTATGGGGAGTGTGTGAGTGATGGCTGGAGCTGTGGAGACACCATCTGTGGTGGTGATACTGGCAGTCATGGATGAGGGGAATGCAGATGTGACTGGAATTCCTGTAGAGGCAGAACTTATTGGAAAGTGTACAGAACTTGTGAGAGTAGTTGACACGGTGGGAGTTGTGGTTATGCTAGCAAGTGATGTTGTTTCTGTATTCTGGATGGTTGGAGATGATGGAGTGATGTTCGTGAAGGTTGCTGAGGGTGTGAGATCGATGGGTGTTGATGTCAGCTTTGTCATCGTAGTCAATAAGCCAGTGGTGCCCACAGATATGGGGGTGGCTATAGAGGTTATGGGAGGAATGTTTGTCCTAGGGGAAGACCTGGTTTGGCTTGTGGATGTCTCCCGGGTACTCAGTATGCTGGGAGGTGGGGTTAGGGCTGTTGTGATTGTGCTAAGTATGTGGGAGATGTCTGAAGGGGTAGTGGACAGAAGTCCCATAGTGGGTGTTGTTACTGTACTGGTCATCACTGGCACATCGCTGGTCACTGTGGGAGAAATTTCTGTGTTGGTACCTGTGCTTGATGAAATAATTGGGGAATTAAATGTAAGTTCCATGGTGGAAGTTTCTTGGGGAAGGTCTCTAGTGGGTGTTGCAGATGTTGTTAGTACACTGGTAGAGGTGGGGGAATCAGTAATGGCTGTCTCTGTAGTAAATTTCCCACTGGTGTCAGGAAATGAAGTTGGAAGAGTGGCTGGTGTGATCAGCGTGGTCCTAGTGGTGAATGATAAGTTGTGACCAGTTCCTGTGAAGGTTGTGTCAGTGGCTGGGACAGGAGAGGATGGGGCTATGGTTGGGGCCTTGTCCCCTACAGTGGTGGTAATGGGAGAAGAGTTTATGGTAAGAGGATAAGTGCTGGTAACAGTTGTGGCTGGTCTCTGTGTCACAGGAGTGGGAGTGTAAGAGCTGGTGAAGGATGCCTGGGTCACGGTCACACAAGAGGTAGTGGGGTAGGAGGTGGTAACTATGAAGTTGGTTGGATACACACACTCAGTAGTGGGCACATAAACAAAGATGGAGGGTGGAGTGGTTTCAACCTTGAAGACAAACTTAGAGAGCGGGACTGCTGAGGTGCTGGAATTGATTGGAAATTTGATCAGCATTTCAGAAGTGGATTTATCATCGGGGTAGGTGATAAGAGGGGTGGATGTGTTTTCCCTGCTGCCAGGAGTAGGAGAGGCAGGTTGGGGGGTACTGAGCAGGGAATTGCTCAGTACAGTGTGGGCTGCTTCTGCCCTGGGGAGAAGAGCATGGGAAGTCGCTGTGGCCCTGGATAAGGTTCCTGTATTGGTGGCAGAACAGAGGAATGCATTTGGTGAAACTTCAGGTCATTTTGCCCCGACTTACCGTATCTGTTACTTACCACCCCATTTTCCCGACACAAGTCACAGAGGGTTGAGGTTAGGGAGGTATCTGCACATTGGAGGTACCTGCATGGCTACAACTCACTCCCCCATCCCCTATCCAGGCAGTTAGAGCTGTGGGCTTTCAGATTCTAAAATCCACTTACAGTGTGCTCCCCAGGAGCACTGAGAGACCTCAGCCCTTTCTTGGCCTTGTCTACTACAAGGCCTCCTGCTCTCCCCTCCTTAAGATCCTCCCTCTCCCCCATCCTCCCCCCCCCACAGTCCCCATCCCCTGCTGAGAGAGAACTAGCTAAGCTCCCACCCAGGCACGTGGTGGAAAACAGGGGCCTGAGGGGTAACCTGCATGAGAACAACAAAGAGGAAAAGAGGGGTTCTCAGCCTCTACTAGGGTTGTGGGACTTTGAACAAGAACCACACTGAGCCCATGAGAGATAGGACAGAGAAAGGAAGCTTCCAGAAAAAGCTGCATCAGCATGAGTCCTCCAAGACCTTAGGGTTTAGTGGTGAGTGTTAATCACAAAAATAGACATTTGATGTAACTATTCTATTTTTTCAGCCATTGGATAGTTACAAACTTGACACCTACACCCATTCTATAGATACGGACCCATTTCATGAAGATGAAACTAAGAATCAGACATCTGGCTGGGTGGGGAATGAGGGAACAGAAGAAGGCAGAGGAGGCACAACGGAAGTTCAGGGAGGGAGAGGCCCACCTAGGCGACGCAAGGGCCAAAACAGGAAGAGAACTTGGTGGGGAGAGGTGACTCTCCCTCTACCCTCCGCAGCAAGGATAGGTGGGTGCGCGACCAATCAACCCGTCCTAACCTCTGCTGAGAGGGCAGCGGTTGCCCTTCTCCCCTCCAGCCTCGGTTCTCAGGAGCCCAGAGCTCTGAACCGCCCCTCTCAGCTTCCTTACGCCCCCAGGCCACCCTCAGCGCCTCAGCCACGAGCATTAGGCAGGTCTCTCCAGCCCCTCCCGCCTCTCCCCTCACCTGCGGCCCCTGGGGAGCCCCCGAGCAACCACAGAAGGTCGAGGAGCCCGAGCAGCCCGAGCAGCGGCATGGGCCCAGGGGGCACGGCAGCCCGAAAGGCCTGGGGGCAGAGTCAGCACCGGACAGGGACAGCAGCGGGAGCAGCACCCAACCTCAAGTGAAAGCGGAGGTACCTGTGTTCAGCCCAGCCTCACCTTTGCCTGGTCCCACCACACCCTTTTCCCCTCGGCCCTACCCGCCCCGACCCCCCCCGCGCCGCTTCCCGTCAACGGGATTTAAACGCTGTGGGACTGAGTACAAGCCGTGGGGTATCCGGCCCGGCAGCTGCTGGCGACCCAGCCCCCAACCTGCCTGGCCCCCGGCACGGTTGCCAAGAGGCTGCCCTTCCTCCCCCTCCCTCTATGGAGACACGCTTGGTGGCGGTGGCCCACGGCCTGGACTCTGGAGTGTGGGCCGGCTCTTGCAGCCCCTCCTTAGTTTCGGTTCCGCAGGCTGAGGTCCGGGGTGGAACCTCGCTCTCCTTCAACCTGGTTCTCTTCCTGTCTTGTGGCAGGACCCCACAAGCTAGACAAAGTAACACAGAATTCAATCAGAAGTCATTTTAATATCTGAAGAGTCAGAGCAGTTCCCAGAAAATGAAATACAGATGGCTAAGAGAGACAAACACGAGTGATAGATTTGACGTAGCAAATTTTTTGACCTTCATAGATAACAAGTTGCTACCTAACAACCATTAGGAAGTTTGAGTCTATCCAGTTTGGGCACAGGTATGAAGAATAACTGTTCTTACCCAGCTGGTGGGGGTGTAAGTGGGTTGGGTTGCTTTAACAGGGCAATTTGATGGTTCCATTAAATTTTTAAAAGCATGCCCTGGAACCCAGTAATTCCAAGAAGCACTTCAAGGAGGCATTCACGAGGATGTTTATTGCCATCCACTATACTGCCATTCTAATGGAAATTGGAGACAACCCATATTAGATTGTTTCAATCTAGAAAGACTGTGGAATAGTTAAGCTATAGAATACTGCGCTTAATTCAGAAAGAATGGTGTTATCATGGAGAGACACACAGAATATCTTGTAAAGTGAACACAGTAAACATAGCTTTGTGGAAAGACACACATGCGTTTTTTCCCTATGGATACACACACACACATATATGAGGTTGGACAATTAAGTTAACAAATTCTTCCTAGGAAAAGTGCTACATACCTCATTGCTGAAAATCACTACAATCACCTGTGAAGTACTTGCCTTGGGAAACTGCACTAACTCCAGTGCCTAAGTCCCCCCTTCAAAGCACTTTTTCTAGGATGAATTCATGAACTTAATTGTCACACCTCCTACAACAATAGCTCTGATGACCCTTCCAGAAAAAGAGTTCCAAAATTGCTTAAAAGTGGACTAGGCACTGGCATTGTGCATAGCTTCCCAAGGGGAGTACCTTGAAGGTGGCCATAGTGATATTCAGCAAGGAGGTATGTAGCACTTCACTTTTCCTAGCATAAGGTTGAGAACTTCTTCGTCAGACCTCATATATAAGTGCTTTCAAATTTTGGGAGGAGACTCACCTCCCCTGCAACAGGTTTGAGGTTAGCTCTGAGAAGCAAGAAGGACTAAGATTGAGAATGACAGTCAGGGAATTTTAGCCCTACCTGTAGCTTTATTTTTCCACTTTGCTAAAGACTATTCTGACTCCAGCCAGGCTCTGAATCTTTTCTCTACTGTGCGCCTTGGCCTGTAAAGACTTGAACAAACACTGGCTCGGCGCC